GATCATCAATTAAATGGTTTGAAATAATCTTAAAGTTTTTCTTTCTAATTTGTTTTTTCTTATGCCACGATGATGAATTTTCAAAATCGAGTAACAAAATTATAAGATTTTCATGTATCAAATGAATGAATTAAAATGATTTATTTAAAATAAATTTTTTTTTTTTTTTTTTTTTTGGCATTCATGGTTCTTATGACAATGTAATATTTTTAATTTTGAAATTTGTCAGATAAAATTAAGGGTTTCTACATATAAGTTAAATGATATAAATTAATCTTAAAAAAATTCTTTTCGATTTACTTATTTTATTGTACTAGTGGGGGGAACGTGCGTTGCACATTAGTTGAATAGTGTTAAAAATAAGTGTACATAAATTTGAAAGAAAATTATTTATAAACGTGAAAGATATCCATAAATTTATTAGAATTTACTTACTTTTCATCTCTTTTCTTTCATATCTCGTGTTAATGAATTATTCGATCTATTTAAACTTATAAAAAACCAACCCAAGGAAAAAAGGATGCAATCTGAAGGACCAAAACACAGAACATAAAAACAATTTATAAATAAAAACACTAAAGTCAAATCCTGTAAAATAGCATATGAAAAAAGAAACAAAATAGGGGACCTACTTGGGTAAATCGGAATCGTCCGTCTTAACTCCACCATTGTTTCCACCTTTATTCTCATTCCTCCATTTTGCTAATTTTGTGCTACCGCTACCCTACTGGCTAATTGTCCAATTGGTTGTATCGAAATGTTTTGATTGTCGGGTATCTGGTGTTTCTCTTTTTGTTGGTGTTCTTTGAGTCTGCATCAGAAGATACTTTCTATTTTTCGGATCAAACAATTCTAGATCGTTGATTTGGGAACGGAGCATACAAAGAATACCTTTTATCTATAAATAAAAAAAAACAATCAATCAATCAAATAACAATAAAAAATAAAATAAATTAAGGCTAAATGTAAATAGTCTCCGGCAATGGCACAATATCGTAATAAGTAATATAGTAGATTTTTGAGTCCGGATTATCGTTTTCACAATACCTATACTTTAATTCTTAATTTAATATTTTCTAACTCCCATTTGATGAAAACAAACAAAGAATTGTGATTGTTTTGATTATTTTTTCAACTACTTCTAATTAATTGAAAATAGCAATATTGCACACAAATATCAATTTAAAATTCAAATATGGAACGAATATTATGGCATAATAATTTCATCTATCGATCACGTTTAAGTTTTACTTCAAGATTCATAAATCTAATATAGCGTTGGATTGAATTCTTCTATTGTATTAAATTTACCTCTATTAAGTTCTCATCGATCCTATTTAGCTAATTTAATCACATATCTCTATGCAAAAAATCAATATTAGTTAAACGAAATATTAGTTTTAAGAATTCATATAACAACTGAAATAATTTTTATAAATATTTCTACGTGTTATACTAAATTATCAAATTTACTATGTGATCTAAATCTAAAACTCACTTTTCGATTCGTAAAAGATTTACAAAATCATTGAATTATTGATTTGGTAATTCAAAATATTAAATACATGAATAAAATCAATACATAAAGAATTAAAATCTTAAGAAAAAGAAATAAAGGGTCTCAAATAGATTATATTGTTCGCCCTCCTTTAGTATTTTTGTCATAATTTTCTCACCTACTGTTTGACGAAGGTGATTCAAATTGAGTTATAAAGGTAACTCAAATGACTATAATGTTACTAGGAACAACCATTTTTCAATCCTCGTGCGGTTGAAAATTGTTTGTAAAAATATTTTGATCAAATTTCACTCATTTTTTTATTTTTAATTGCATCCAATTGACCCCTAGCTTTCTCGAGTCTTCATCGTGTGGTCCAACACAACCTTTGAGTATTTACACTTTAATCTCCAACCTTTGGATCTTGCTCATTTTTGTCATTTTTTTTTTCTTAAATTCCAGTTTCACTCATTAAGGTTCATCTAATAAACAAAATATACAATAAATTAGCCTATAATTGTTGAAAAGAACTTTTAAATATCGCTATTTTTAGATCCAAATAAGTATTAACTTATCAATTATCTAATTAATAAGCTCCTATTTAGTTCAACTAAAAAGGCTTATTAAAATTTAAGAGTCAACAATAAATTTTAAATACAAAATTGTATGAGACTAACTATTTTTCAATTATACATTTCAACAACTTTCATAAAAATAAAAAAAAATTTACTAAAATTTTGATTTTTATCTAAATAAAATAGGGATTAAATAATTTGTTTAATTAGAATCGACATTAACTTTTCATTTATAATTATATTTGCTGAATTTTATTTTTAAAAAATATCAACGACCCAATTAAACAAGTGATCCGTCGATTGAACTACTGATTCATTGATCCGAATTTATGATTGGTTAACTGATCGAATTGAATCTGATAACTATAGTTTAATCCATTTCAATTTTGAATTCAACTAAACCTGCAAACAAATTTTCTTTGACGTTGGAGCCGAGACACAGCCTTCACTATTTTTCGAAAAAGACGAAAACGAGTGACGCGTGCAACTGTAGAATAGAGCTGAAGTTTGTTGGAAGGGATAAGAAGGGTCACGCCAAACACGCCGAAATAGTAAATTGAGGAAAAAAGTAAAAGTGTCTGACGTGTGTGCACGTGCATTTAATGAACACCCACCTGAAAGCGACATTTACGATTGGTTAACTGATCGAATTGAATCTGATAACTATAGTTTAATCCATTTCAATTTTGAATTCAACTAAACCTGCAAACAAATTTTCTTTGACGTTGGAGCCGAGACACAGCCTTCACTATTTTTCGAAAAAAACGAAAACGAGTGACGCGTGCAACTGTAGAATAGAGCTGATGTTGGTTGGAAGGGATAAGAAGGGGTCACGCCAAACACGCCAAAATAGTAAATTGAGGAAAAAAGTAAAAGTGTCTGACGTGTGTGCACGTGCATTTAATGAACACCCACCTGAAAGCGACATTTAGGAGAGAAATGTGTAACAAATGACGGCACCAAAAGACACGTGCCTTCAAATCGAGTTTTTTTTTTTTTTTTTTTTTATGTATTAAATAATTTTCTAGAATTATGTTACTTGGGAAGGTTAAAGGTTTGGATTCAAACCCGATATAGCACCGAATGGAGAGATGTGACCCACTTCATCGTCTCATAAAAATAATTTTTTCTTTTTGATTCATTTCAGATTATAATTCACTTTTCTTATGTAGAGAATAATTAATTTCTTAATTTTTTAAATTGTTTATTATATTTTATTATTAATAAATATGAACTATCATTATTCAAAGTAGAATAAAATCATTGTGCCTAATAAATTTTGTCCACCTAGATGATCGATCCTCACACTAGCATGGGACCAGCACCGACCTCGTGTGAATAAAAAATGTGAAAAATGGCACCCCACTCATCTCGATTGTGAGTGTAGGTCAACTGGTATGTCAAAATAATTCTAACACCCTAGCATGATTGATTCAAAGTAAGTATATATTAGAACAAATATCGTAAAAAAATTGTCGGTTCATCTATATTATTTAAATTTTCTTAATCTATGTGCAAATGGAAGCAACATATATATATATTTTTTTGGAACAGATTGAGTACTATTTATGAAGCTAAATTCAAATTTAGGGGTTGTTAAACAATTTTTTTAAATAAAATTTGGTGATTTTGATAAAAAAAAAAAAATAAATAAAACAAAAAAGAAGGTGATTTAGTTGATAAAATTTGTAGATTTCATAAAATGTATAGTTGAAATTGAATATTTATCGGTCAAAAAGTTGTTAAAAATTTAACAAACAAACACTTAGAATTGATACTATAATTTATTGAACAGTTATTGGACGATATAATACATAAGATTTTTCCTCTCATTTTTTATTGCAAATGAAGTGAATAATTATAATTTAAGCTGATCAAATATACTTATTATTTATATATTTTGTAAGATCCACGGCTACTATTACTATTCATTCATTTTGTTGGACTCACCATATATAAATATTTAATTTCAAATAAAAATAAATTAACTATTTTACATTCCAAAATTTGTAAATGTAGCCCTAAAAATAGGATCCCATTTTTTGTTCCGAAAAATCATATGACACAAGTCAAGTTTTTAGATTTAAACAACGTGGTCAATTAACATTGTGAACTAGAATCTCAACCACTTAATTCCATCATGTATTAATAATTTTGGAAAGTCTTTTGAGGCTCAATTTTTTCTATTCTTGGTTAAAAAATATTTAAGAATTTTTAAAGGACAAAAAATAAGATTAAGCAACTTTTTCATTTCTCTAAATACATAAATTAGAAAATTGTAAATTAAAATTTTCTATAGAGAAGAATAAAATAAAATGGTATCGAGTACGTGTGATGGATAAGTCACGACATTGACGCACAAAACATTCCGTACAAAACTTTATTTGATCAAATAAAAAAGTTTTGTGTTTCGAACAGATATTAGGTAACGACAAATACTACATATATTATTGCAACCGTTGCTACCAGAAAAAGAATGAATCGTATTTAAGAGACAGTAATTGTTATTAGCTGATTTTATAACTGACATTTTCTAATTGTTTATGTCACGTTGTAAAAAAAAAAAAGATTTATTTATTAAAATGCAATCGTTTATAGTTTTTAGAACCATTCCCAACTTACGTTCGCATCTTATCATGAAAACCTAGATTGTATTTATGTTAATCAATAATTTCAAAAACAAATGAAAATAAATAAATAATTGAAATCCTTAAATTAAAATCTAAATAATTATAAGTTGGAATTTTATGGATAATAATTGTAGCTCCTATATATGCGTTGATAAATGATATATGAAATTGTTTTTTAGTAAAACAAACACGTGATCACTGCTTATAAGTTAAAAACATACACGAGATTAATGCTTGTTCCTTTTTAACCTAACCGTGGTTCCTTTCCTCCTCATTTAAACCACTCACCATCTGCAGTATATTTCCATCCTCCTTCAAACTACTCTCTTTCATTTCTTTTCATTTCATTCTATAGCACTCAAGAAGAGAGGGGGAGGAGAAAGAGAGGCCTCATGTTTAAACTGAATATGATTAGTTTTATGGGAAACTCAAAGTTTTTCTGGTGAATTTTCTTTCTGTGGAAAATCCATGGGCCAGAAAATGGAGTACTGGTACGTATTCTTGTTCGAACTCCGTTCTTTATTTATTTATTATATTTCTTTTTTGGGATTTTTTAGTGCGAATAAAACTTATACACAAGTGTATTTTGTTGGTATTCTTGTTTTGTGTAGATTTATGGCCTTTTGAGATCTGATGCTAGAGTTTTAACCATTTGGGTATTAGTCGAGAAAGATCAAATTTGTAGAAGGGATAAAATGGTGTTTGTGTTGAATTGGTTCTTAGAGTTCTTGCATGTATAGAAATTGGACTTTGATGTGTTATCTGGTAAATGGGTTGCTAAAGTTGGAATTTTTTTCGTTAGTGGCCTGAGTTCAGAGATTAAGCTAGGAGTGGGAATGGGGAATATTGAATTGAATGATGACGATAAGTCTATGGCGGTTGCGGTTTTGGGAAGTAAGGCATTCGATTTCTTGATTTCGAAGTCAGTTTCAATGGAATGCTCATTGATGTCTGTGGGGAATGGTAAGAATTTGCAGAATAAGCTTTCAGATCTTGTGGAGCGTACTAATGTGGCAAATTTTAGCTGGAATTATGCGATTTTCTGGCAACTTTCGTGCTCCAAGTCTGGTGACTTGGTCCTGGGATGGGGAGATGGGTGTTGTCGAGAGCCTCGTGAAGGTGAGGAGTCGGCAATTAGTTTTATTTTCAAACCGAGACTTGGGAACGAGACTCAACAAAGGATGAGGAAAATGGTTTTGCAGATGTTGCACAATTTGTTTGGGGGAATTGATGAGGACAATTATGCTTTTGTATTGGATAAGATTACAGATACTGAAATATTCTTCCTTGCATCAATGTACTTTTCTTTCCCTAAAGGAGAAGGTGGTCCGGGGAAGTGTTTTGAATCTGGGAAGCATATCTGGATATCGGATCTATTTAAGTCATCAATTGATTTTTATATCAGGTCATTCCTTGCAAAGTCTGCTGGTATGCAAACAGTTGTTTTGATTCCAACCGATGTTGGAGTGGTGGAGTTAGGATCAATGCAATCCATCCCCGAAAACTCGGAGTTATTGGAGATAGTAAGATCATCCTTTTCGTCGTTTTCATTGCGTAATATGGCCGAGAAATCTGTGGCTGTGACAGAGGTAACCGACAAAATAAATGGAGATGGCTCCACATGTAGCTTGGCAATTGGTAACGAACAGGGAGTGGTTACCAAGTTGCTTGGGAAGGATTCAGAGCCGGGTAGCGCACAATTCAGAATAAACCTTTCTGTTGGAAAATTGAAAGACAGGCAACAGGATGTATCTGCTAGTGGGAACAGATTGTCATTCGCCAACACCGTGAATGGTTTTGATGCTGCTCGGTGGACGCAAATCAACAATGTAAAACCAGGGAACCCACTGGAAATTTGCAGACCTCAGGCTCCAGGGAAAAAATTACATAAACTTGTTAATGGGGCGAGGGATGGGTTTCAGCTTAAAAATTTTCAGCAACAAAAATCTGCAAAAATGCACATTGATTTTGCTGGAGAGACCTCCAAGTCAACTCCTCAGCCTATTTGTGTCGAGTCTGAGCATTCAGATGTTGAGGCTTTGAGCAAGGAAGAGCATGCAAGCCTATTGGAGGAGATAAAGCCTAGGAAGCGCGGCCGGAAACCTGCCCATGGAAGAGAAGAGCCACTCAATCATGTACAGGCAGAGAGGCAACGACGAGAGAAGTTGAACCAACGATTCTATGCATTGCGAGCTGTTGTGCCGAATATCTCCAAGATGGACAAAGCTTCTCTTTTGGGAGATGCTATTGCTTATATAAATGAACTTGAGAAGAAGTTGAAGGACCTGGAATTGGAGAAGGAAAAACTTGGAAGCTCTTCTGGAGAGTCATTGTCTTTGGAAGCTAAACCAAATTCAGAAATGCACGAACCAGTTCCCAGCATTGAAATCCAAACAGTCCATGACAAAGTCATCGTGAAGGTAAGCAGCCCATTGAACACCCACCCCATAGCAAGGACTGTCCAAGCAATCAAGGATGCACAGGCTACTATTCTTCAGTCATTGGTTGTCGCAGGGAGTGAAAAAGTGTTTCACACATTTGTTGTCAAGCCGCAAGGATCAGAACAACTAACCCAGGAAAGGTTGATAGAATTACTTTCCCGCGAGTCCAACACCTCACAGCCATCATCATCAGTGGGGTAATATTAGAATGCATTATGACATAGTTTCTCTGCAATAATGTGTAGTTAGCAAATATGAAAAACTTCTGCAGAGTTTTTGATATATACCAGGTAATCCTAGGAGTAGAAGAACATATTTTAAAAAGACTGGTAGTGTTTTGTTTGTTTTTATAGTACATATGTTCTCTTCTAAGGACAAAGTCTTGCAAGACAAATTAAATTTGTTATGTTTTCATGGATTTGCAATGCCTAAAGATGTTTTGACTTCATTTTTGTTTCCTTTGATAGTTTTTAGTTGTTGGTTAACTTTCTTATCCAGATTAGATGATTTAAATTTTTGTGGTGTTACATGTACATAATAGGGTTACATACACATGATGTGTTAAGATATGATTGTGTTAGAATTTCTTCAATTGAAAAAAAAATTAATTTCCCCAGTTTTATTTTGACACCTCATCTGTATGTAAACCATTATGTTACTGCAATTACAAATAACATTATTCTTTAAATTTTGATATTTTAAACACTGCTGTTATTTTCCTGTGTGTTCATTCATGATTGTTTTTTTCCTGCTGAAATATCATTGAATTATTAGCTTGATGGACAAACTTAATTGCCCCTGTGAAAGAGTTAAACTTTGGCATCACATGTTAAATTTCATATCAATTCAAAGTTATTGTTCAACATTACATGTTAGATTTGATATCAATAGTCCAAATAACCATGCTACATGTACAACTCTAGTTGACAATTTTTGTTGACAATCATGAGTTGACAAAAGCTACACCATCCATTTTAGGCAACAATTTGAGTGCTTCTCTTAATAAATATATGGTCGACTATGCATTGTGTGTTAACTTTTTTGTCTCTCTTTTGCAAATGATAGCGCTATGAGCGTGCTTTGGTTTTACTTAAAAAATTTATTTATCCCTTTTTTGTAGTGATTTTAATTTAAATCAAAGTTAGCAATCAATTTGTATTATATATTTTGTAGAATTCATAACTTTTCAATAACACATTTCATCAATTTTTATCAAAATTTACTAAAAATTTGATTTTAATTCCCACCAAACAAGGGCTTAAGTTTCTTGTTTTGTCAAATATAATTTTTAAAGTTACTTCTTTACCAACAAAATTTACTTTTTTTGAAAGTAAGCTTTAATTCCATCATGACATAAAAAAGTGAGCAAAAAAAAGAAAGGAATGATCTTTCTGTTGTTGGTACATATGATATTAGGAGAAAATTATTTTTCCATATTAGTGCAAACAGCTAGACAATGGTTTGTTTCTAAAGGAATGTAAGTTGCAAAATGATGTTGACACTAATTTGTGGTTTGTTTTCCAGTTTTATGCGGATTCTGTTGATTGAAAATGACTTTTGAACAAATACTAAATGAGAGAGCAATGTCAGGCAAAAAAAACATCATAAAATGTGTGGAATTTGGGGAACAAACATGTTAGGTATATAGTCATTTCCTAATTTTGATTGTTATTTTATTTTTTGAGACATGGGTGTTGAAATTCTTTTAAACCTTTCCTTTTATTCATGATGGCTGTTTAAATATTCTTGAAAAGACGACAATCAATTAGAAAGTAATATTAGTTTATTATTTCAATTATTCTTCTTTAAGAGCCTTTGAAGAGGCTCTTTAAAAGTGAAATACTCTCTATTTTAAAAAATTCATCATTTAAAATTATGCTCTAAGAAACTTTTCAAATTTACTACTCTCTATTATTAAATGCGTTCAAATAATTCAATTTTTTATGCTCATTCTATTGACCAAAGTAAATAATATGTACAACAAAAATAGAGGAAAATAATATAATAATTTGAAGAAAGTTGGTGAAGATGATAGATAGGGAGAAATAATAACTAAATTTGGACGAAATAAAATTAAGTGTTAAGGATAAAGAGACTGTTGGAGTATTTAAAAAATTTTACCTTTTAAATTACAAAATATGCTCTTTAAAAATAGAATTTCTCGGAGATGTTCAATAAAGGGTACCCAAAAATGTTTTCACTTAGAGGAGCGACGTAAATCTGATATATCACGACAGTAGATCAAAACTAATTTAAGTTTGTAAGGTACATATTTGACTTCGAATGATGTTTCAATAAATAGAGTGATTCAAAAAGAATAAAATTTGTATATATTATTTTTGATTCAGATAAAATTTATGATAGTCCCGTCCCGAAAGTTTCATAATGGGATTACAGAGAAGATAAGTTTTATTAGACAAATCACTATTATATGTGAAATTAAGTAGTTACGGGTATGAAACATAGGTATCGAATTTTCTACTTTATGATTGTACCAATAGTGTGCTTTTAAGTCCTAAATTTTCAGCATGAGTTCACAAACCTTATTGAAGATGAAATTCTCCCGCATGTGTTACTCACTAAGTTTTGTAGATGAATTTAAGATGGGGATAAATCTTAAGTTGCTATATTTTAATTAGTGTATGATTTGTAGCCGTATTAGATCATCTAAACATTATAATATATAAATTTAGCATTTTATTTTTTTATTTAGCCCCTTTTTTATTTTGTTAAAAGTCACATTTTTTGTCAATTTTGATAAAAATTGATGAAATATATGGTTGAAAAGTGGATAAAAATTGTACATTCTCATAAAATATATAGTTAAAATTAATTGTTGATTTTAATTTATATTTTTCTGAGTACTTTTAGTTAAACCAATCATTTGTTTTTAGGATACTATAAAGGTATTTGACCTAGGGTTTTTATACATTTCGTGTTAGGCTAGGATAGTAATTTTGTTCTTGTTGCAAATGTAAGGTCCGCCAATGATGGACGCAGATATTTTAAGTTAGGGAACACAATCAAATTTACAAAAAATGTAACAAAAAAATAAAAATAAAGTATTCGATATTTTATTACAATTGTTCTCCACACAATCTCATACTTTGATAACATTTCATAGTTACATCATTTTCAATATTATCAAATACATCTTTCTAAATATATGCAATCAAATTACCATTCAACTATTGATCTCCGATTCGATTGCGCATACGATTTTTGACATAAGTCATCATAGAAAATGCTCTCTCGATGGTAGTTGTAGCTACGAGAAGAACAAAGGCTAATGTTCCAAGCTTATAGACTATTGGATGCACTTCATGCTTATTTTTTTTGCAATCAACTTCTTTTTTTTGCAATCAACTTCTGTGCAAAATCACAAGACCTTTTAATCCTCCAAAGTCTTTACAAGTGAGCATATCAAGAATATAGCCTGTTTGAGCCCAATTCTTTAAAATAAAATTAAAAAAAAATTCTCAAACTGTGTTTTGGTATCATTTCAATCATATATTTTTCAATAAAATAATAATGCACTCAAATTCAAAACTTTTCCTTATTTTTTAACCACATATTTTCCATCAATACACTATTTAAAAATGTATTCTTATGAAAAGAATGGGACTCAAACAAGGGTAGTTGATCATCAAGTTCCGAGATATCTGTTGCGTCAAAATCTACCGAATAATACTCACAGAGTCAAATCACTTTATTCTTACCAAAAGCAATAAATGAATTATTTGGACACTAACACGTAATACCAAAGGAGTAAGTCACTATTTATCTTAGAAAAATGATCATTTAGAGTAAGTCACTATGTATCTTAGAAAAATGATCATTTAACTCTTGAAATTGTATATCAATGATGGCATAAAGCATTTCCACACAAAAATTAAGTAAATTTGTCATTGTGTCACGCAATGAACGACCTAGAGTTATGAACATATCATTCATATTGAGAACATTATTCTCGTGAACTTTATAAAACAAACAAACATTCCAAAAAAAGAATCACATCTGTCATCCCTCATGATTTGGAGCTGTGTTTTACATAATTGCATCGATCTCATGGTATTGACAATATCTTGATCTTTTCTTTATAGTGCTTTAGACAATTCATTTGATATTCTAAAGATCGTTTTCAAGAGTTGTAGATCAAAAGCAAATTCAAATTTTAACATGAACTCCAACAAAATATATGTGTCGCCTCTTGTTCCGGAACCTATAGTATCAGTAGCAATACATCACCAACATCAAGTTCATCCCTTTCATTCTTAACACCTCATCATCATTTTTTATCTCCAACATCATTTTCATCCCTTTCTTTTAGAATATTCATTTCATTAAAATTTTCTCATCACGATGACAAAGATTTACGTTTAAAGTTTTTTTCATAATTAATTCAAACAATGCAATAAAACAAACTCACTTCCTAACTTAATTTCAACTCATTGGCCACTGTCAAACTCAATTTCAACTCACTACCTGATATTGGACAGCATTAATAATCGTCTATGATGACCAACAAAGTGAGGCCCTCTACGTCTATGTCGGGTCGTCAACCACCGTAAACACTCTATGTGTATGCTAGACCGTCGACCCCTATGAGCAATCTACGCTTATACAAGACCGTCGACCCCCATAAGATCATCTACCACTATACGGTCAACCCAACACTTAGCCATAAAATCATCAATGAATTGGATGGAGATCGCATAACGACTGTCACGAACACAACCAACCATTAGATAGTTGGAGGCCCCCAACTCATAATGTGGAGATAGTGGAAGAAGCTACGTGGGACACATAGCACCATAACTGCCCAACATTTACGTAGCTTTAGTCCTCTATAAATATACCCAAGGAAAAATAGGTATCTCTCTCGAAATTTTGGCTATCTGAATACCCACTACGTATTTTTCTCTTAAGTCTTTGTCTAAAAAGATCATATACTGATTCTCACGCCAGAGTTACAATGGGGAGAAAGCCCCAACCCCCTTTTGCATGTAAATTTATTCATTGAAGTAGCACAAACACCTTGCGTCGCCAAGAAGGCACAAATGTGTCATTTCACAACTATTTCAGTGGCGCGGTCTATAGGAAACCACTGAACTGTAAAATCATGTCAAGAAGAAGAATAATGAGTGATACATGTTTGGTCAGGAATACGACGAAGACAGAGTCGATCGTACGAGGTCATGATTCGCCGTCACCGTCGCAATATGTGATATAGAACCAATTCAGCGCTCTGAAGAATCAGTTGGCAACCATGATGACTTTCTGCAAAGTCAGTCATAGAGAGCCGTTGTCCCACCGTTAGACCCTACGAAAATCACGCACGAATAGTCACTTCAAGAGCCACCCACAGTTGTTCCACCTGTTATCCAATCAATGGCATGACATATGGGGACTCCAGCGGTTGTAGTTCCGCAGCCCTATAGCCCATGG